GTAAGTAAAATGACAAGTATATTACGTGCATTTTTGTATTTTACAATGTAAATTACATGGCCTCAAAAAAATCCTTGTAATTTACCAACCTTAGTCGAAACCAATGAAACAGACATTGAATTCAACGACACTTCTCTATAATTGAGGTTTTATTGTATGTCTTATGTGTTGTCCATAAATAACGTGTAAATAAACGGTAATTATAATTACGTTTACGACGAAGACATCCGCCGATTGATTCCAGTCATCAGCGGTTCGCAGCCTTTGACGACGAACTCATTCAATGGATCCAATGGTGACTTTGACAGGCATTCAATGGGAGATCAGTCGCTATCTGTCTCTCCATTCACTCAACTCTTCAATAATGCAAACAATTTTGACATTAAGTTTGTATTCAAAGAGAAACACATTTAAGCCATGAATTCATTTGAAGCCAAAGAAACCCAAAGTTTTGGTCATTTTGTGTTCAGAAGTTGGGATCAAATGGAGTGATAGACATGTCGTCTGAACCCTATTCTCACGACTCAATGCATGCATTCCTCCAATTGTTGTGCGGTTTGTGTCCCGAAGTGAGTGACGAGACGTGTCCTCAACTCATAAAACTGGCCAAACATTACGGCGAGAATCAACTCAAAGACATGTCTCTCACATATCTTTACCAATATATTGAGAATTAATCGTTATTTTAATTTATTTATGTTTTATTATAGTAAAACTTAATTATTACTAATTTTGTGAAAGTTTTGTTCGCATGTCTAAACAATTTACAACTGTTATTAAAAATGAATTGAAATACTTATCAAGTAAAGTTTAATTGCAATTATACCATATTTATTAAATTAATTAATAGTTTTAATTCATACAATAATTTCTATTCATTTATCTAATATTAATAAATACAAAATTTGTGACAATTAATGGATATTTCAATTAAATTTTTAAACAATTTGTAATTTTTAATCTGAAAAGTGTATAAATAATATAATTAGAAATACCTAATTAATTTAAAAAACAGTTACAAATATTGCATAATAAATAGTAAATCATATTTTTAGAAAATAATCAGAATTGACTTTAATTTTAAGTTTAATAATTTGAAAAGTATTTGATTAATAAATTAATCGATAATTAAGACAAAATAGTAGATTATATTTATCATTAATAATTGATTCATTATTAATACAGATTTTAATATGGAATAAATTTTTAATAATTTCGGAATATTATATTTGCGATTCAATCATTAAAATAAAATAATTGCAAAAACAATTAGACAATAGAAAGATAATTGAAAAAATTGTCTAACATTTTGTTATTTAATTGATGTCTTTAATCTGAATTCTAATTTTAGGACAATTAGTGTTGAGATGATTGACAGCCAATTGTGTGCTATTATTAGTGCCCATGAGTTGAATGCAACGGATTTGTGTCAGTCTTGACAATGCATTCAACACTTCATCCGTTATTATCACTCCATTGAGTCTCAGATCCAGAAGTTGTGGTAAATTGTTGTGAATATGATTAAAGAAAGTATCGATTGTAGCGTATGTTTTGCATCTAAAAGCCCGCAAATCAATACTCAAATGTGTTAATCGTTTCAATGATTTCAATGAACCACTCGTTATAACACACTTCTCGCAACAAATTGCGTAAACTTTCAGACGTTTTAATTGTTTAAAGTTTTCATTAATAATTGGCAACACTTTATCGCTGAGACTCCAACCAAGACATAAATATAGACACTTGAGTTGAGGGCATTTCAAACCAATTTGTGTCAAAAATTTACCAAAAAATGTTTTATCGTCGGAATCGTCCATAAAATTTATATCAATTGTGATATTAACTAATGCCCGCATTTGTGACAAACTATCCAATAGTTTATTAATTGTAATGTTATTAAAATAAACATTTATTAAATTAAATCTAATTGACTTAATATTGTGGCCGTAATTGTGAGCAAACAATACAAACGCTGACAAATCATTGACAGTATGTTTAGAGGAATTGAATACAATTTGAATACTTTTGAGTCGTTTATAATACAAACCATTTTTAGCACTAAATAAGAGCTCTGTTTTTGACCAATCAGTCAAATATAAGTAAATTTCAGTCAAATTCACACACATTTCCAGCCATTTATTGACCACAACTTCATTCATATTACCAAATAAATCATTTAATGACAAGTATTTCAATTGTTTTCCAAATTGAACCATAAATTTATCCATAAAATGCACTGAACTCTTACCCATAATATATTTGATTTCTTTTAATTGTTTGCAATGTTTTATAAGTAAATCAATTAATGGATCGTTTAATTCATAATAATAATCGTACCATTGATTCACGTCATCTCTTTCAACAATACGTGTAATGTTTGGGCATTTTATCAATATTTTCTCAATTATAGCCAAATTATTATTAATTAAATTGTTGTTAATATTTACCACAAATTGTCTCATATATATCAATCGCTTCCACTGTTTGGACACCAATTCATATCTCAATTTGTCTTCAAATGTGAGGAAAGACAACAACTCTTGGCATAAGTCGTCTCCAAATCTATCGAAAGAGTCTTTGCTGTAGATTTCACACATTTTTAAACAAAATTATTAAACAAACAATTTATAATAATTAAATTACAAAAATTAAATTAGTAATCAATCAAAACATGTGTTTGCCTTTCAATATAAGACTAAAAAATAAAACGGAAACAGAAATCAATTAATAAATGATTAATAATTCATAAAAATATGACAAATCATACAAAACTTTGTCTTCAATAAAACATTGAATCAAACATTACTTGAAGTTAATTAAAGTTGTACTTAAAATAGAAAAATATTTCTAAAATAGTCAAATTTTAAATAAACTTCAATGTTGTAAATACTGTATATAATGAAAATTAATTGCGTTAAATTCGTTCAATTATTAATAATTCATTATTAACTATTTTTGAAATTAAAATGTAACTTTTAAAGTGATGTTATATACAGTACATATTATACTTTTATTAGTAAACCATTAAAATAGACAACAATTTATTAATAATTTGAATTTATAAACAAAACAATAAAATATGGCAAAAATAAGTTAACAAATTCTGAATATTAGCTTCATAATTATTTACATAAAAATTTAATTATAATAATGATAGCACCCGTGTCTAAGATTAGATTTGACATGATTTACCACAAGCCGTACAATGTGTGCATTACTCTTACCAAATGTCAGTCAACCCGCGCTCTCATAATCACATAATTATCAGATGTAAGGCATTCATAATTAGATCCATTGTTTGCTTCCTCTAACTCTAAGTATTCCTCCAGCGCATGAATTCCTATGGATTGGTATTGATATTCATCGTAAATGTTTGTCTCGCCATTGGTTTCGTCCGCGACTATTGATGGCATCTGTTTGTGGTTTTCATTCTCCTTCTGGTGTCTGTTTTTCACCACATATTTGGTCACCAAAAAGACAATCAAACCAATAAGTGCTGCGCCCGTCACAAATGATACCAACGCTATCATCACTACTTTATGTTTTGTTTAACCATGGTATTAATTAAGTAATGGTGTATATAATGTTTAACTTCATTTAAAAATGGGATTTAGATCAAACTCACCACTATTTGTACCGTTCGGCTGTGGATTCACTGTATTTACGCCCGATTTGTTTAAATATTCCCTTAAGTTAGTGACTAATCAAAAATAGTATCAAGGACAATCAAATAACGAGATAAATAGTAAGATTAATAACCAACTCACTATTTATGTCCTTATTTTGTGTATTCACTTCCTTTACATCCGATTTATTTGAATATTCACTGTATTTGAGAAACTTTTTGTATTCATTGACTTTAATAAAAGATCCAAACAATTATTAATCTTAATATAAATTTAAGACTCGCATCAATCATACCGTCTGTGCCTTTCTTAAGACACTTGGGTTGAGAACCGCTCCAAAAGCCTTTAATACAGACTCTCTTATTATCGCCGATGAGCTCAACATCTGTCTCATCGCCGGAACGGCACGAATAGATGGCTTCGGAACCGGTCTCGGCGTTTGGCGTTCCGTTCAAATAGTTTAAGTACTTGTACTCGACTTTAATGTAGCGATCGTTGGCGTCAATCGCCGGTAAACTACATAAATATTTGGCCAAACATTGGGGAAACTTTGCGCTCCAATTGCCGAACGCATCGCAAACCACTTTCTGGCTGTCAATCGGTTCCAAATAAAAGTCTTCGTCGCAGCCATAGATTGTGAACGACTTCTCGCGAATCAATTCAATTGAATGCAACGGCTTTTCCGGCGAACCGCACGACTCGCTCAATGAATAGGACTTAAACGAGCAAAACGTCACTAAAAATATGTGTTTTGTCTGAATGTCAAATGAGATCACTTTTATGGGATCCGTTCGCAAAGAGTCGTTCTCTAAGTAAACGTATTCGTCGGTCACTAACAGACACTTAAACGAGATTTTGGTTTTGTTTGGATTGCCGTCAATCGTGTCAAACGTGTCGACAAAACACTTTGTACGGGACTTATGGACGCGAGCCTTCACTACGATAAGTATTCGTCGGTCACTAACAGACACTTAAACGAGATTTTGGTTTTGTTTGGATTGCCGTCAATCGTGTCAAACGTGTCGACAAAACACTTTGTACGGGACTTATGGACGCGAGCCTTCACTACGATATCGCCGCTCGACAAGTGTGTCATCAAATGCTTGCCATACAATATGAGCGCAAAATAATCGATACGGTCTTCGTTTTCTAATTGAATGGACACTCTTTGACTGGAAGTGATATTCCAACTGAATTCCGGTTCATAACAACCCTTAGAAAATTGACCAAAAAATTTATAAATCTTTTTGCCGGTCATAGAATCGGGTATTATTAGAGCCTTAGGACTCAAATTGGATTCAAGTGCTAAAGAATTAACACAATATAAATAATCAGTTTATATAATTTATAAGTAAACCAAAATATTTCAGTTGTACCACATCGGGGAAGACTTCCCATCCATTGGCCATTAATGCAACGCATAGTAGAGTTGCCCACAAGAAGTTTGTCAGAAGAGTCGCACTCGTATTGAATCAAATTATATTCATCGTAACGTTTCTTATAAATATTAATTGTTGTCGACTCCGGTAGGGCTGGGAATCCACAGTCCATTTGTATTTTAGTAAATCTCATGATTATTATTGTAATCGCCAATAAATTTAACATTATTTACAGGTTTATACATTTATTTAACCACTTTCTCATTATATATTAAAACACTTTATAAAAAACATCAAATTTAAAATAACAAAAGCAAATCAACGCTTCCTTTGAAAAAAATCACGTATTAATAAAACTTTTTTATTTATGGCTTCCGTTTCATAAATCAAATGGGATTTCCGACTAAAGAAATTAGTTTTAATTAGGTAATATAAGTTTTGATTTTGTCATCATTTCTATTAAAACACTTTCATAACAAACTCTTTCGCGATTATCAAATCAATTATATTTAAAGTGAAATATAAAAAAAATTAACTTTTAATTAAGTTACCAGAATATATAGAGAAATGCAATTATTACATTAAATCCATTATTACAAAAATGTTATAAATATTTAAATATGCATAAATTTTAAAACATAAAATATCAACATAACAAATTAGTTAATGATTTTTAAATTAATGGTGAACGATAACATTACTAACCGTCGAGTGCCTAAGATTACTACCGATAAGACTGAGCACAACGGGTAAGAGTATGAGTCCGTGTGCGGCGCCGATCACTACAATCCCTAAATACATACGAAAGTAGAATATCTTGAATATGTTGGACGACGCGAACCCCAGGACTACAATCCCCCACAATTTGGTGAATGTTATGCCCGACAGAACCGATGACCCGATTCTGGCCAACGATTCCTCCGCTCTCTCCACACGAGTGGTCCTCAAACTCATAGCATATCCACGCGTTATATGCGAACAGAACTCCACTGAAATGCCCACAGACTGTGAGCACACAAACAGACACATTAATCGTACAATTAAATTAACTAATGTAAAAATAAATACCATAACGAGATTAACAAGTGATATGGCATTTAATGATATATTACACCAAAACATTACTCCCATTAAGTCTATAACAATGGCCATAATTGTAATGACAATAATGAGTGATGCCATTAAATTAAAGCCCAAGAATATAAAAGTGACCACAAATATGGCGGCGATAGCGATGACCAGATTGAAGATAGTGTCACTCCAAGTGGTCAGATATTGTTCATAAAACACATAGAAAACACTATAGGGATAGACCTCAACATACGGGTCATCGCCGGTATTGAGAGCATTAATAGCTAGTGTCAAAGTTTGGGCTAATATTCTGGCGTTTTTTATACACGATATGAAATCCTGTGAATTCTTAGACACCGTATGGTATGCGTTGAATGAAGAAGCTATTTAGGAGAGTAATATCACAATGGTCATTATTTAATAACAATTATGGCAAAATAAATTAGTATTGACATACCCTTAACAGGACCTGTGGTGTTGTGACTATAATCCAAGTGAACATACGGTCCATAAGCGGGTCCACCACTAGTTTAAAATTAAAATAATAATTACAATTAATTAACTGTTTAATAGCTATGAAAAACCTACCCTTTGGGACACTTGGCGTTGGGAATGTCGGCCAAGAAATACTTGAGATACGGGCCGTTAAACTTGTTCTCTTTGATGATCAGACGGTCAGCGAAAACAATATCACATTTCTTACAGCCGTCTCTATCTGTGTATATATAATATGGTTATTATAAACACAAACTTCAAATCAAATCAATACACATACCATCAGTGGATCCGCAAAAGTCGGACTCATTGTGGTTATGGAGTCGACAACAGCCGCCACTATTAGCCCAATCCATGTAGTCGTCGACCCAACTGTTGGGAACAGTACTCGAGATGTATGTCTCGTTTGAATGCTTTGAGGCATCCATTAAGATATAGGACAGAGAGGTCGGCGAAGATCCGGCGCCGCCCCATATCAGGTCCTGTTTATGCGCGTAATCGTATTCACCGCTCACCACGAAATACACGGGCGCTCCCACTCGCAGGCTATTCATCTGAGCGTCAAAATATGGGATCAGATATGAGTCCGAAGGCATCGATAGCTTCTGGTCGAGACCGACATCCAGTTTGTTGATCACAGCGATGGACGCACACAACCATCCCATGAATACTATTATCTATCAATTGTTTGCCATTAATTATAAATGCGTTAATTTAATGAAAATAATGAGAACTCACGACAGATACTCGGATGAAGTCTTTCATCAGAAATGGTGCGTAAATTTGTTCAAAGAATGTGTAAAGTATACCATTTTTATGTCGGTCTTCCTCCAAGTCATCTAATTTTTTGTGTTGTCGAACACAACACAAGAGATCATATCTATTGTCTAACTGTCTCTTTGTGTCGAACACTAGTAATGGTATGAAAACAATCATTTGTAGTATAAATGCTATGACAAGAGCTAATCCAGCGTTGAGTGCGAAGACCCGAACGGCGGGCATAGAAGTGAGTGAACCCAAGAAAAAACACGACGACTCGGCAAATGTGGCCAATAGTATAGACGGCGCCACACTCTGGAGGACAGTCGACATCTGATCCGATATCTCCACGTCTTTGCCAAACGACTGGCGCTGAAAGTTCTGAACCAAAAGGAAGATATTGTCGACTCCAACGGCCAGAACCAGGAATGGTATGACTTCGACGATAATAAGCGTTGACTTAACGCCACATAAACTCAATAAACCTATGGATGCGGTGACCGATAGTAACACTATTGCGACACCACTTAAACCTAATAATATCTTTGAGTCGATCTAAAGGTTATAATTAACAATTGAGTTAAAATTAATTGTAAAAGTTGTTAAAAAAAAATACAAAGCATACAAATAATCTCTTCATTGATGTGAAACGACCCAAAGTTATGGATATATAGACAAACATAACAATATAACTGATGGCAAGCGTACCGATACTTGATTTGCTTAATTGGTTTATCTCGTCCTCAACTGAACGCTAAAAATTTAAATAATTATAATTAAAACAAAAAGTTATTTTAATTATAAAACATTCAAATATACCTCAGAATAATAAACAAAAGTAAAGTTAGGATTACTATAGCTATGCAACAAATCAAGAAACACCTGTTCCCACGCCATGGCATCGGCATTATCTGTGGCCTCGATATGATTGTTAAGCAATACTGTTATGACAACAGACCGGGCGGTGAGAAAGGCGTCGGGCTCTGGCATAGACTCGTTAAAGTCGGCTAACACTACATTGGGAAACATGGGTCCGCCAAACCTGCCGGCACACGACAGGTCACCATAATTGCCATCTATCTGCGCAACCATATCACCCGTACATTTAATTACATGATCCAAATAGTTATACACAGCGCCCGAGTTGTCGTACGTCCGGTCCAGTAGTGATCCGTTGCTCTGAAACCAACCCAACGGTGTCTGAATCGCGCACTTCTTATTCATCATCGGATCAAAACACAGATCAGTCAACACAACCTCTTTGTCGCCCACTTTTGCCCTCAAAGCCATTACTTTTAACTGTAAGTCCAGTACTTGTAATAGAAATTGTTTGTCAAACGCCGGACCGAA